GCCGCCCATCCTCGTCCCACGGGCTTTCTTGTCTTTCAAGATGAGGGCGTTAAATGAGAGACTGCAGAAAAACGCTGACGCAATACTCTATGAATAAAAAAATATACTTTCACGTAACCTGCGAAAAGAGACGTTTTACGTCCCCCAGCGGCGATGAACGAGGAGAAACGTTTGTTTTCGCAGGTTTGTTTTCGTAGCGGAACCGTCACCCTTTCGTAGGGTTATAGAATGGAAATGTAAAACCATTGGCACTTTGAAATGGTTCGCCAAAAGATGAGATACCAGCAAACATTTCATCTTTAGACTTGTTAAAGCAATGACGAATACATTCATCGTACTGGTAAATAGCAGACTATTATAGCTATAAAATTCACATATAAATTTCATGAATTCAAACAAATTTTAGTATCCCAATTTCATTTCAAAAGGGAAGACTTGACACTGATACCTACAGTGAAAGATTGGTCAGAAGTATGTATCAGCAACAGGTATATCATCGTAAATGGGCTCCTTTCCTCTTGGAGCTTTATCTTTATCTTTTGCAATGTGAACATCGACAGACTCCGTTTTAAATCCTTGGTTGGAAAATGCATCCATGACAGAACTAACAGTGGCAGCTTGCCATTTGTGCGTAGCCATCATTAAGATTCATAGATTCTGAATGATAGGCTTTATCGAAAAAACCTTACTTCGCCTTTACCCTTGTTAGGTAACAAAACTGCGACTGCTTCCTCCGTTGTTTGGGAAAAGACTTCGTCATCGCTCTCGTCAGTGGAATCGTTTTTCAAGATCTTGTCGTAAAAACCGATTTTGTCGTTGGAAGTTTTTGATTCATCTGACACCTGAGATCCAGTTTCCGCGTCATCGAGTTCTATGGAGAGCTCTCGAAAAGATTTATAGGAAAAACCAGATCTTTGTTCGCGCCTGCACTCTTCACTAGGTTTCTGCTCTGGCTCAGGCTCAGGCTCCTGCGGTTTTGGTGTGCTGGTGTAATCATTTATCACCTGCATCTCTGTGGAGACAATGTCTTGCTTCTTTTCATTATTGTTTGCTGTTTCATCATTAAAACTGTTGTACAGTAAATTCCTGGACTTTCTGCGTTGTTTAGATTTTCGTCGTTTTTGGCTGAGTATTTTAGGGGCCTTTCGTCTGATAACAAGATGGACAAAAAACAGAGCAAACAGCACTGATACAGCCAAAACAGGCATCAAAACAGAAATATTGACACACCCTTTTCCTCCTGAAATGCATAACAAAAAGTTATTAATCAACAGTATGAAATTAAACATTCACATCCAGAAGTAGCCAGAGTTTATCCCAAATTTTATTTCATTTCAGCAAATGGTACCGTGAAAATACTGTTGAAGGAGTTCTCAAGGGGTACAATAGAAACTGGGATTCGCAATAGTCTAAATTGTGAATAAAAAAATGAGATTTGTGTCACTGGGAATTGGGTTGTCCAAGTAGGCAGTGTTTATTCAGTATCCAAGACACTTGTTTTGTACTCACCAGCTGACTCATACTTCAGTCCTCTTATCAATAAGATTCTACATTGGGTACTTGACACTCCATTCGTGACGTTACATTCGTACATTCCAAAGTCCTTTGGGAACTTTGGTGTCACCACCAGAACGTTCCCATGAATTTTTGCACGTGAAGACTGCGTGACAGTAACATTGTCCTTAATCCAGGTGTACACCAACAGTTCCGACGTTACTGGTGAGGAGAGAGACTGAGACGAGTTTGTAGGTTCAGTTACATTGGTTACATAGCAACCCAGATTGACGGCATGGTTAAGAAATGTAGTAATTTCTTGTCGCGTTAGATTTCTGTCGATTGCAAGATTTTCTGCAAGAAAGGAAAACACGGAATTGAGATATAGTTTTCCCAGAATATTCACTGATTGACATTGTTTACAAAAAGAAGATATTCAACGATTTTTTACTACGTTAAGAATTTATAGACGCATTTTACTGAGTGTGACCGGCTCATCCAAATAAAGGATTCTCCGTTCCTGTATCTGAGCCATAAAAAGTGGGTCTAACTGCAGCATTCCTACATCAATTTCGTCTTGTTGAAGTACTTTTCAAAACACGGTATCCCTATACAATTTACATCCACGTCCAAAACTTTGGTTGTAGAGAAATATAATCAGATAAAATATAATAATACATGAATAAATATAATAATATCTCACAAAAAAATGGAAGTTCTGGGACTCTATATTGCAAACAATCTGGCAACCAACCGAATGACATAAATCGTTTGTAAAAGATCTTTTGATAAAGTGGTTAATAATCCTTAAAAAATATCTTACTAGGGACTTTGATACAATTTTGGCTGAAATTACCATATTACCCAGTTTAGCAGTAAAAAATCGGTAATTTCTCGCACACCTGTGTCCAATATAAGTGACAGAAACATAGATGGTGATGATAATGAAAAATTCAATGCAGTACATTATAGCACAGTCAGAAAGGGATATGTTCATTTACTGAGTCGGCGTTTCGACACTGGAGTTTAAATTTGAAACTCGTTGGCGAAAAATTTTATAGTTTATTCGACCGTGTCATTTGAACATCAAAAATGGCCAAGGGCAACTAAACACAAATAGTCTCTTCAAATAATATGCGCACACATCCCATACATAAATCCTATAATATACATAAATATTAATCAACTCCCGCTCATGATACCATAATATATAGACTATATGTAGCTTTTCCAAATGGCCATAATATTTCAAGTTGAAACGTTGATTTGTATGGGTTTTTCCGTAACGCCAGCATGTAATCTGATGATCTTTCTATCGAGGAAGATTCTTTTCGTGATCTCCAAATTTCACGCGTTACTTAAGACTGACTAGTGCAAAAAATGAGTACAATATGGCAGACGATTTCTTGAAGCACCTCTTTATAACTGTAGAGAATGCACAGCGTTGATCACGAAAAGACAAACATAGGAACTGTCTGACCAGCGAAGCGAATCAAGGCTTCGGTCAACAAGATCGTAATTGGTTTGATATGAAAAGAAGTTCTCCTCTCTATAATACAATAAATTTATGTACATTAAGATAGGAGAATTTGACTTTCATAACGGTAAGGAAGCCTCCCGCTGTAAGAATCAATTCTGCAAGCGTGTAATGAAGATCCTGTGATGTGAACATCTGAATAAAACCCCTTCAGCACAAATTTGGCATGTTACTATATGCTTCATTAGGAATTTACAAAACAAAACTTGGAGTTCTTGAGGAGTGCCGTCGTTGTTTTGTTTGGGGCCAGTCCAAATAGACTTAAAGACTGACCTTTAACCTGGGCAGGAAAATAATCTACCTGCTAAACATTAAATGATATTCTATATTGGTCGTCTTCAACTAAAGTTTAGTTTGAAACGTTCGCGCGATTCAGCGCGTTCACCTGCGAACAGAGGACGCCTCGTGGTTAAAAAGCACCAAACTGTTCAAATTGTGAATTAAAGAAATGACACCCATAGTCGATAATAATGCAACTAGCATTAGGACCAAACAAGAACTTTAACGTCTTTACTCAGCAAGCACATTTCGCGTATAATTGAGAGAATAACGTTCATTAGTTGTGGGGGTAAGGCATTGTAGTGAAGATAAAATGAGGGTTGTAAGTAATATATCAAACATGAGATGCAGTGTTTCATCAAGGAGAAATTAAGGATGCAAATACTAAGCAGTGTTTCATCCGATTTCCAAACACTCATTAAACATTAATTTCCTTTGTATTTTCTTAATGAATTATTAATGAGTTTGAGAACTTCATGTGAAATAGCTAAATTTGACCGGTCTAGTATTGAAGGAGTGCTCACATGCGAGGTCGGTTGCCATTTTTGTTAACGGTCCTGCGAAGTCCCCTCGATTTCCAGGAAGATTTCTTTTTCGTAACAGGAAACTAAATGAAGCTCAAAATTGATTCTCCATACTACTTTTAATAACAAACAAAGTATTCTCATCAACGAAAAAAGCTTGGCAAGACAACACACTTTGTGCACGTGAGCTTTCGTAATCAGAGTTACAATATTTAAACTAATTTGAGATCAAGGAATCTGTTTCAGGTCGTTTCAGATATTCATCGAGATAACAAATAAACAGCGTTGCGTAATGACTGAAAACGAGATTTCCCCTTGTCTCCGTGTGTTGGTAATCGCTTCATAAGGTCTGGATTTTGTGGAAATCATAGAAAGATTGAAAACCCCTTATAATGAAATAAAACGTGACCTATTGTTTGACTGATGAAATTTATAAACACCGATCATGTCTCCTACGCTAAAATACCCTTGCGGTTGTTTCATTGCATGGTCTGATATTTTGGTTGTTATGTAGGAGACACGCCGATTCACTAGCTGAAAAGCTCGACTAAATCATCTACATACATACACCGCCCTTTATTATTGTGTCTGGTCGTTCTAGCGCTATCGGCACTAATTGGGGAAACCAATTAAAATTAACTAAAATACAAAGATAAACTAAAAATAATTTTACAAGTATGATTAATTAAAAGTAGTATGGAGAATCAATTTTGAGCTTCAATTAGTTTGATGTTACGAAAAAGAAATCTTCATGGAAATCGAGGGGACTTCGCAGGACCGTTAACAAAATGGCAACCAACCACGCACGTGAGCACTCCGCCCTTCAATGTTCTATAACTGTCATGAATAAAACGGGTAAAAACGTGGGATTGCCTACAACAAACTTGACTAATTAGTTCATTACACCCTCTCGTCTAAACTGGAGTTTTCGAGCACGTGACGGAGCTGCTAGTGCATGAAAAATGAGGTAATTTTTAGAATGTCAACCTGAAGCTTATCCCTTACGGACACAGCTTCACTTTAAGCTACTCCTTAATACTATTTTACATCCTTATGAAGAATGAACAAGCCTATAAGTGCAATTTTTGTCAAAGTTAAAGTTGATATGCTAGGTTTAATTGTTCATGACTCGCTTGATATAACAAGTGTTAACTTTAAACATAAAAAAATGCACACTATAACAGCCCCAAAAGTGAATTCTAGGTTATTAGCTTACCACGGGCGACTGCCATGTTGAACGTCATACAAAATACTTGAAAAAAACGTGAATTAAGAAGTGTCATCCTGTTGTCCGTCATTTTGTTGTTTCGCTCTCTCGTTATACCCTCTGCTCTCTCGCGCAATGAGAACATTCAGCTACCTACACAGTCATAAGCGTATATTGCCAACTGTCGTACTCGAAAAAACAATAAAAACTTGAATATTTACAGACTAGACTGTCTGGCAATTCAAATTTCCCTATCGAATTTTGCAGTAGTCAGTGGAATATTGTTCCTCCTTACAATATTAAGCCACTCGTATATTTTGCTGTATTAAAAAGGGAAAAAAATATGCCCCAGTACCAAGACTGATGATTTAGGTTCAGTTTCCGGCATTTGTTGTACGCTTTCCTTTTTATGGCGGTTGGGATAGAGACTTTTTTGAAAGGTTAAAAAGCGGTGAGAGGGACTCTCTAAAATCCCGAGGCCTAAAACTGAAGATAGCCCTTACTAGTAACAACCATCGACAAAAATAAAAGTTTTTAATGCTTTTTCAGTGATTATTGAAAAACACATGATGTCCACGTGATTGTGTTTTTTGTATCGATATTTATTTCACTTTTAGAACCAATCAAATCAAGCGTCAAAAATATATTTTGCGATCGACTGAGGGAAACGGAATCAAATGAGAGAACTTAAGGAGCACTTCAAATGAATGATCACGTCGTTCACGTTCGTTCTCAAAAATTCCAAAGATTGGAATGGCCTTGTAAAGTATAATAACAATTCCTGAACACAGGAAAGTACTGTTCAGAAGTTTTCATTATATGGTCACAAATTAGGATTTCATCCACAGACTTCAAACATTCGAACCACCTTGTACAACATAATAAACATTATCACAGGAAAGTTCTGCTCAGTAGCTTTCATTTAAATGATCACATTATACGATTTCATCCACAGACTCAAAAGTTAGAACCACCTTGTACAGCATAAAGTAGTCACAGAGGGTCAGAATTAAGCCTCGTTGGTGTCTAGTTAGTGACTAGCAAGGTCTAGTCAATGACGTCACCTTATTAGTAAAACATATGTGTCTAGTAGTGTCTAATCACTGCCTTCCTGCATACTAATTATTTGCCTAGTCAGTGTCTAGCTAGCTAGGTAAAAATACGTTCCTCCATCTAATTACTGTCTTCCTGCATACTAATTCGGTATAGCTTTACTAATAAGAGTCTTCCTTATACAATAGGCTTGCCTAGACTCGCCCGGTAAGTAACTTAAGCCCGGTTTTCGGACCGTCTATTAAAAGGAAAATAAGAGCGATCACCTAGCAACGCGAGAAACGGCTTCCTATATCTTATTTAGCGTCAAAACTCGGATATATAAACAAAACATACGCACATATACACAAAGTGGAGCTGAACACGCTTTATTTCAGTCTACCACAGAAAAGTACACACTAGTTCTAGATACGAACGCCTGATTTTGTCATTTACAAGGAATTTTTCAAGTTTCATATCGAAAAAGGACGCATAAGTGGCATTATTGACAATAAAATGAACTAGACAGACGTGTCACAGCCCTTTTAAACAAAGCTTTACCGATCTGAGTGCGTTCAAAATTTTTGAAATCAACAATACAAATTTTAATATCTCAGCAACATGAAATCAAATTAGAACAACTAAAAAACGTCTTAAAAAGCAATATAGCGTAAAAAGGAACTGAGTAATATTGCCTGAATGAGCTATATATTGGAACTCAATGACATCTCAGGAATAAAATATTACAAAATATATTTGAGATTGTAAAGCTGACTGGTTCAGTTTCCACTGTTAATTATTTTCCTTGATTCATACTATTTATTGGGTGCATGAACACTTGAAGATCGTTCATAGCTGCGCGCTGTAATGATAATGAATGCCGCAGTAAGTGATGATCACCACTATATAAGAAATGAAACAGGCTTACATCATATTGTTCAGTGTATGAAACATCAATTTTCTGCTAACGCTCATCATGAATGTAAGGAGTACATAATAAATTTCCACCTACCGAATGTGGAAACTAACTTAAAGATAAGCAGTGTTCCAGCCAGAGTGCGCCATTGCGTGAATCCCGCAAAAGATCGAGAGATGGCCCCCGCCAAAAGCGTTCAAGGGCCATTATGGCCCTTTCCTTCTTTAATTCCGTGGGCTTAAAAATGTCGTTGTTACTTAAACGACAATAATTTTCCAATTAAACAGAAGTTTTAATCTAAAGAACAACGACTCCGTACCTTTGTACACAACATGAAAATCGATCGATGAATCTTCTTGAGTATACCTGATTTACAGTAAGTGGTCTGGAGACCACTGAGCCTCGACTTGGCTTATGTAATATCGCAGGAGCTCAGGCTAGCATGACGTTCTTGCCCGAAAAAGGATAAACCTGACAAATGCATCTTCGAGGTCTATGAAAAGTTTTTTCTCAGTAAGTAACGAAAAAGTGGATGGAGGCGAAGCAGTTCAGAAGAAGCGAAAGGAAGCAGATCTTGACGGGAGAGCGGAAAATAAAATGAAAAAAAAAAACCTTATCATTTTTATTGCATACATTCTCATTGTACTGTTTTTTTTATTACCGAAGATTTCCTCTATTGTGTATAAAAAGGGATTCTCCATGTCAGCTTCAAATAAACTGCCATTTTCATTTCCTTAACTTTCCATCTGTTTCTTCTCTTTTACATATTAGAAAGATACTGGTACATTGGCCCTTTCTTGAAATATCTGGGTTGTAGGGGCCACTTTGGCCCTCAAGCAGAATTTTCTGGCTGGAACACTGGATAAGTAGCCCTGTGAAGCAAAAGGCCATTCTAGACTTGTCATAAGTGTCATCACAGAAAAGTATCTCCAGGAGGGAATTGTTAATGACGATAGCTAGGTCCAGTCCCCCGTCCCTAATCAACAATCAGGTTATCCACAGGATAGATATCTCAGTATCCTGAGCCCGCGCTATACATGCACATTGTCAACAACTGCGGCCTGTTTCATTTCATGTTTCTTAACTAAAAAGTAAATTTTTCAATAAAGTTTGTTACCTCGTGTTGAGTTGTTTCTTTCTTTCTTCCTCAGTTCTTTGAACTTGATGTTTTTCCTAGCAGTGAAAAAGATAAGTGGGAAGCACGTATGAGTTATGACCCAATGAAAAATGCATTTTTAAAATGGACACGTAAAATTAAAAATGAGAGTGAAACTGGTGGACATAACGAAGGCACCTTTACAAAGAAGACTTTCTTGAAAGATATTAATTGTTCCAGTCACAGTGAAACGCATGGGATAAAACCCAGATAAAGGGTACCCCTGTTAGGTTATAACAAACACCCTCTCCCAGTGCCCCGAGGGCACTTTGTTATATCGGGGTTTCCAGCTGTGTTATAATGCATTCACCTGTAACTCACCAAAGGTTTTCATCGTGATCACACGCAAGAGGTCCAGACTAATGAAAGATCAGTCAGCGTACGTTTTTTACTTCTGCACACTTTGTTCAAAAAACCAACAGCAATGTGTACGAATCACTGAATGATTCGAATGGCGTAACCACGCTTGTTAGAGTTGTTCCGTGTTTAACCTTTGCAATATTGCGTACATGCACGTTTTTGGAATCAAATCATTGCTGATCTCTATACCAAAAAGATGCGTTTGGAAGGAGCTCGTAATCAGGAGACAACCGCTAAGCTGACATGGATCCCGCGATACCATTGGTTAACTGTGTGGTTAACTCAAGTATTGGAGGATATCGTTATTTGGTATTGACGATATTCTCATTCCATTTGGGACTGACAGAAGTCCCCCCGAAGAAAAAGCAGTTGAGGGGGGCCTGAGAGGCAAAGATTGGTAACCTGGCAGGAGGGCACGCGCGCACCCTTTGAATTGGAAAATGGGTATGAAATCTCAGGATCTATGGAGAAAAAATTATAGTACAAAAAGAAAACAAGGTGACGCAAGATGTAGTTTGTACACTAGCTACTATTTGAATAACCATAGTTCAAGAACTGTACATTATCCCTTACACTTTAATGGTATTTTCGCGCAGTTGGTTAGCTTTTGGATATGTTATATTTTAGATGTTTCACACAAAAATGTTTATTTCGGGCTATCGTCAGTTCGTCTTAAATACTGCAGAATGTTCCTGTCATTTTCGGTATCTGCCATATCTCATTCAACAAGATAAAGAGAAATTTCTCGTGTCATTTCTTTAAATGAGACGTCAAAACGTTCACGTGTTGTTCACGTGGACATCACGTGGTAGGTAATGCACCACGCGGTTGAGGGAAATAAGCAGACATAAGTGGCGGCTCGGTTCGAGGCTTCTGAGAGTTGGCTCCACTTCCGGTGGGATGGAAGTATTTAGCGTCAAGTATGGGCTCACTGCTGTTTGTAATGCTGCTACTTCCGGTTATGGTAAGAGGACGGCTGAGAGGGGTGACACCCCCTGTTGAGAGGGCTCCTGATGGTATATTAGGGGTTGACTGCCCTACTGGATGGGGTAGCAGGCCTGGGCGGGGTCCTGGCTTGCTGTATGAAACCTGTTAAGTCAAGTAAACATTTGTTTACATTTGTATCACTTAAGAGATCACTTTAAAAGCCAAGGCAACCAATCTTAAATAGTGATGTGGCTGACAAATCAAAAAAAAGAAATCTTCAAAATGAACAAGACTGGTGGAACATTCATACAAGTAAAAACGGCACACTATTAACAACCCCTACGCGAATTGGCCCAAAAGGGAAGCAGAGTGAATTGGTAACAAAACAGATTGGCAAAAAGTTAAAATCATAGTCTCAAGTGCCGCGGGTGTATTTCGAGGGCCGCAACTTTATTTTTAAAAACCTTCTTCAAGGAGCCATCTTGGTTTTGGAAAATATCGGGAGTTGAGAGGAGTGCCTGTCCATTTGACTGTGTCCATTCTACCCCTCTTTATACGATTTGGGACAGGTGATAGTCAATCCGGTATGATACTTAAGGCACGAGGAACACACTAGGTAACACGTTGCAGCAACACGTCACGGCGACAAGTTGCAGCGACAAATCGCTTCGTGTGTGCTGGAAAATTTTTGCGAAAATCTTTGTCTCCGCAACAGAGTTTTGTCGCCGCAACGAGTCGCACAAAATGAAATCAGCTTGAATTCGTGCAACTTGTTACGGCGACAAAATTCTGCTGTGTAGACAAAGATTTTCACAAAAATTCTCCAGTAGACACGAAGCGATTTGTTGTAGCAACCTATCGCCCGACCTGTACACACGGAGTGGTTTGTCACCGCCAAGTGTTGTAGTGACATGTCGCTTAGTGAATACAGACCCTACCGGTTCATACATTACCTGAGTTGGTTCAGTAAAACGAGGAATGTCTGTTCTGTTTGCAGTGGAACTAGATCCAGCAGTAGAGCTTGGAACCTGAAACCAGTTACATCAACCAGTAAGTCACAATAGCTCTAAATTGTGCGGGGCTCGTATAAAGCACAAGCGAAGCAGAGGTTACCTTATTATATGGAGCCAAAGGAGGTCTCCGAGTAGACACGGTCTTTGTATTCATTTCAAAAGGTCCAAGTCGTTGCTGGGACATCATCTGATCATTCATTTGCTTGTTCAGCCAGTTAATAACTGTAATAAAACAGACTAGTCTGATAACTGTTACCTAAAAATAACAAGAATGTGTTGAGATTAACCTTCAGAGGGGATTTGCGGGGCGGTTGACCGTAAAATAAAATTCAACAGCGATTTCCGTCTATGACTTCGAAAGAGAGTCCCCCAAGTGTCAGCGATCCAAAAACGTCCGAAATCGATCCAAAAACTGCCGAAAATTTCCGAAGATGGCGTGTCGGACGGCTTTCGGATTTCCGAAGTTGACACATTTAGTTGAATTTGAACGTCCCTTTCGTAGAGTTTAACTCTTTAGATTAAATTGGAATCGTGATTTTGTAATCAATCTCAAATTGCACCCTCACCTTTTAAATTAACCGCTAACTAACTTATCTTGAGGTCCTGCGATTCCCTTTTCTATCGAACAACCTAATGCGCATGCCAAGCATAGTGTATACATCAGTACTTCTATAAGTTCTATTACATAGACACGTCAGTCGTAAGCGTCAATTCGCCACTTCAAGAAACCAGAAGGAAACTAAGCCAAGCTAAGTTCGCAAAGACTTCTGGGACATTTACTAGCGACAGGAAAAAAAATTGGCCGATGGCTGCTCGGCGCGTCACCAGTAACTATCCCAGAAACAATTGCAGGACGCATTTCTGCTCCAGTCTCGTTTCTAAATTCGATTGGTCTCTGCTGAAACGTGACGCGTAAAACAGCACCATTCTGAGTAGCTTATCTTTGTTCTACTTTTACCCTGTGGTACCTGAGTTTCTTTTAATTTTTGTTCTTCTCACCATTTTCATTGGTTTTCAAAAGCTGCTTGCTTTCTTCAAGTTTCCCTGTTGTCGTTTCAAGTGACTCTGTTAGCTTCTTAACCTAAATTTGCAGTTAAAATCAACATTTTTAAAGTCACCAAAATGAAAAACGATTCAGAAGACAGTGCAAAGAAATAAACGGCTGAGTTGGAAGATTAGCTTACTAAGACAACGAAGGCAACGAAAACGGCACCAAGGAATTATAGTTATCGCTGCGCATTCACGTTCAGGAAGAGAAGAAAGTAGTCCGTGTGTTAACGTTTGGGATATTTCACGCAGTAGTTATGCCAAAGACGGCGAAGAAGAAGCGTGTCAAAAGAGTGATGAACACGGAGTTGTTTTGCTTTGTGAATCCATTGATTTTTGGGCGTTGTTGGAGTTACTTTATTCGTCTTTTCGTAAGAACCCTCGTAATAAGTTGTTGCTGCATTTAAACAGTTTCTTATATATAAACTTCTACTTCATTAGCATCTTGTGAAATAATATTAAAGTAAACGTTTAATACCTCCTCCTCTTTACTTTTCACAGTGGTTTGTAAGCTGGTATTTTCCTGCTGACATTTTTCAAGGGCTGTTTCCTAAACAACAAGGATACCATAGTCGTAAGAAGTACACTCGCTATAAACTCCACTTGGGCCTATTTTCAGGCTTGAAGAATTCCCTTCACCAAAACAAGTTACCTTTTCAAGCAGAAGCTTTTCTTGTTTTGTGGTGACAACATTTTTTAGTTTCATCTGCAACAAAATGAAAAGATCAAGTTTTATCTTGTGCAAAACGAGTGACACAGTGAAGATCGCTGCGCTGCCTTCTTTAACAGATTTGCTTATAATTGGGTGGGGTGGCACAAACTCGCTCCAACTTTTCTTGCGTACCACCCTTAACCATTCCAACCAATTCACAACCCGGGCATTTAATAGTAGCCGAATAAGACAAGTTATTCAAAGGAAGGCCACTTGTTTTAGTGATGTTTTTTCTTAACGGTATGATCGTAGCTACTTGAAGCTCATGTTGGAAACTATTTTGCTGCTAATCTGAGGGAGTCTTATATAACTCTTACAAGAGAAGGAATATTTTACCTTTGATTTGCTGGTTCGCAGCTCAGACTGAAGCCTGTGGATTATTTCGTTTCCCTGAAGAGTAAGAAAAATAAAAGGGTATCTTAACAACATGAGGGAATTTTGACACGTTTATAACAACCAAAATCAAAGTAAAGTTGTAAAATCTAATTAGGTTATCCCGAAATTCCAACATACATTGCGCACCATTCCTGGAAGCAAAAATATCCAAGTATGAGTTGTCCCTTTTTCGAAAATTGCCCAAAAAACCGAAAACTGAAAACTCCATTAGGACAGCCTGGACATTTTTTAAGGGTAATGTTGAGCGAAGCCTTTACTGGAGCTTAAACAAACCCAATAATTATCGGTTTCAGGCCTAATCTTAAATTTGTTACAAAATCGATCAGCGATGAAGAAAAACTGTTCATCATAATAACAGTGAAGAAATAGTGTGTGGCATACCTTGATGACCTCAGCAGACACAGATTTAACTGTCGCTTCAAGCTTGTTAATCTGTTCGAGCCTTTCTTCCAATATCTTTTCTTGTTTTCTGCGCTGTTCACTA